ACACAATAGTAACAACAAACAAAAGAGAGAAAGAAAACAAAACAACTTGTACAACAATTTCAATAATTGAACTTAAAAGTGAAAGGAAAGCAGAGCACAAGAAAAGAGGGCTATGTTAAGTTTTCCACATAGACATTCAATATCCAACAACAAGGGTTGATCCACTTACAAAACGTTCCAAAAATACTTGCTCTACTAATCACATTAAATTTTAAAAAATAGTTGTAAGTCTAATATGAAAAGAAATTTGCTGCACAAGTATGATAAAATCTATCAGGTTTTCAAACCATTACAAGGCACACACCACAAATACACAGATGCACTCAAGTTCGCATCCTCATGTGACGGAAAAAAAGAGTTGACAAAATGTTGAACAGACTTATAAGGACCAATGTGACAAGGTCACATGTTGTTATTGTTTACAGCTCATTTAAAAATGAAATGAAATGATTTAAAAAAATCTGGCAATGAATCTTGTGAGAAACTTTGAATGTAGCTAGTATCATCTAGACTTCAAAGAGAGAAACATAAAAATGTTGTTGCTTTGACCGCAAAGATAGTTGTTAACAGGCTAACAACTATTACAACTATTTGTTCTCAACGGATGAGAAAAATGAAAGCAAATTAATTAAGCTCATCACATTAAAAGTAAGGGCTTGGTAATTAAAGTACTATCGGTCCTTCCGCCGTGCCTTGTCTTTCTCCTTGGACCTCTTCACTACTTGGCGTTCATGCTCATACTCGAAGTCCTCTTCCGTCAGACTCAATCTTTGAATCTATAACAGAAAATTTAATGATTACAAATACATTTCAAATTACAAATGAATGTCAGCAAAGATTAATATGGGATGAGAAAATTATAATTACCTGAGTGACTACGAAAAGTTCTTCCATGTAGCGCTCTGGTGGGCTACGAAGTACTTCTAAGGTTTCGTACATTGTGGGGCACTTTTTCAGCACTCCTGATTGACCAAGACTGTACTTAAGAACAATTAAAGCTACCTTAAAGATGACTTTGATTCCTTCACATAAGAACATGTCCCAGATCCGAAGCAATGTAGGCCAGGGGAGAGTTCTTGTGAAAACACAGAGGAACCATTCTGTCATGTACAAAATAGGTTCAATCTTTTGCTTTTTCTGTAAAAAAACAAATGAATTAAAAAAATTAATCAGACGTTCAATTTTGATTGAGCTAACACAATTCAAGTGGACAATTAAAAACTAAAACTTACCAAATGTTTGTACACTGCAGGAGAAACCTTCTTAAGGAGGCCGAAAAGCACATCTCCATCTATTTGTAACGCTTCCTGTAAATGAAACAGGAAATCAGTTAATAGGAACAGTTTGGATACAGTTCTAGTCAATCCCTTGTACTGAACTAACGCCACCCACCATTCCTTGGCTGTAGTAGCCAGACAGGTACTTGTCGCAGATCGAGACTAGACACCAGAAAGCCTCTTCGGCGGGCATGTGCATCAGGAGGAAGGCGGCGATGGGAGCTTGCGCTTGGCAGTAGCCCACTTCAGGGTTCAGAATCGAGAACGACTTCAGCACTTCCAGAAGATCCTGCTGCCTGAAAACGCAATTAGAAAACGAGCGTAAAATAGATTATTTTAGAGAGAAGAGAGAGAAAAGCAAAGGGAAGGTAGGGCGTAGGACGCACCCGTGGCCCTCCTGCTGGGCGAACATCTCGTGGTAGGGGAACTGGCGGTGGAGGTCCTTCCTGATGTCGTCGACCCACCGCGGGTCGCCCTCCTGGCGCGCGAGCTGCGCGTACAGGCCTCGGTGCTGCTTCATGAGGTGGTGGCCGCTGCACAGGTACAGCCAGGCGCGGGGGCGCACGGACGCCGGGATGCCCTTGCGGCACCGCTCGCGGACCTGGACCAGGACGACAACAATCAACACATCGTAAATCAACTTGACCCGACCGAGTGCCAATTCGAACCCACGCCCGCCACACTGCAGTGCACTGCCGCTCTCACCTTTTTGTAGTTCTTGTCCATGTACTTCTCCCAGCTGCCAATCATGGCCAACCACTTCCGCTCGCGCCGCAGGACGACCACCGGGGACACCAGCTGCTTCCTGAAACAGGTAGAGGCACGCGTGAGTGTGAGAGAGTGCCAGCGAGTGAGTTAAGAGTGAGTGAGCACGCGCTGACATGGACATGACATTCGCCACTTTTGCACCTTGCACGCGCCATTCCGAGCCAGCCGTCTGATTCCGAACACTGCTTTGTCGCTCTGTCTCTCTCGCACCCCTACGGACCGCCCCATGAGTGCGAGAGAGACAGAGCGACGAAAGCAGTGCTCGGAATCAGACGGCTGCCGACTCCAAACGGTTCGCTCTCCCTCCCTCTCTCTCTCGCCCATCGAGACGCGCTATGAGTGAGTGAGAGAGACAGCGACACGCTGTGCGGAGTCGCTCGGTAGGTTCCCAGTCAAGAGCGCGCAGCGCAGCACGCCAATGCTGGCGGAGTAGTGCGCAACGCAAGGACTGGGCAGCGGCCAGCCTAACCTAACCTAACTAGCAGAGCAGGGAAGTCCTCCTGCCTGGACAGCTCTCTCTCTCTCTCTCTCTCTCGCACTCACAGGGCGTCGCGTGAGGGTGCGAGAGAGACAGCGACTGTTCGGGATCGGCCTGCCCTAGAGCCTGCCCGCAGGCCGCAGGCAAGGCTGGGCAAGGCCCGCCTCCATATGGCCGGCCGGAAGCCGTGTGCGCCAAGGCAGGCCAAGGGCCGCGAGGACTCGCAGACGACGCGACGCGCCACGCGGCCAGCGGGGGGCACACTGGGCGGGGCGGGGCGCGCACACGCCGACACTGTCCGACCCATAAAACAGCGGCAAAAGTTTAAGTTACGGCGCGCATATCCCGATTCAATGGACTGGAAAGTCGCGCGGGCGGGGCGGCGGGGCGGCGGCGGGGGAAGTCCCACACACGCGTCGACGGCGGTGCATGCCCTGCGCACCGCGCGCACCGAGTGCAGTGTGCCACACCGAGTGTGGTGTGCATGGCGCGTTATCTGGCCGTAAAATCTACGAGGCGCGCGGCGCTCGCTTTGATTTCAGAGTACACAACCACACACAGTGTACCGCGCGCGGGACGCAACGTGTTTCTCACTGAGCCAAGTCTGCTGTATTATTCTCACTCATTTTCCCGTCGCGTATCGCCGCGGCACGCCACCGCACGCCACCGCTTTGAGGCGCGGCGGCGGCATAGGGCTTTCGGCTTGGGCCAAAGGCAGCCAAAGGCTTGGGAAGTGGGCCAGCGCCCCGCCCCGCCCCGCCCCGCCCGGGCGCCCCGCGGAGCGTGCTTTGCCGCCGGCTACTCCAGAGCCGCAGAGGCAGCCGCAGCAGCAGTGTGGGCAGCAAGCAAGCAAGCAAACAAACAACCAAAAAATACACAACCCGCGGCTCCACCGGGACTCGAACCCACGACCACCGCGTCCCCTCGCCGCGCCAGCCGGCCGGCCGGCAGGCGGGCCGGTAGTGCGTGGGCGCGAAGAGGGAACTCATTAACAATGGGCGGGCAGGCACGGCCGAGGAAGTCGCATCATCGATTTTGATGGCGGCTGGCGCGGGCTGGCGTGGGGACGGCACGGCGACGTTATCTTCGGCCGATGCTGTCTAGGCGCGCATCCGCGCCACGGGCCTCGCGGGCCACGCCCTCGCTAAATGGCATCGCGCCACACCCGTCGCCGTCGTCGTCCCGGCCCTCTCCTTCGCATTCTGCAGGCCCACGCCGCAGCGACGCCGCAGCGACGCCGCGCCGAGGCGGCCCCACGGCCAGCCCGTCGAAAACGAAAGCCTGCCAATAGTCACGGCGCTGCAGCTGGCTGTCTCCCTCGCACCAATGCGGGCGGCCGCTGGACCGCCGCGTTACCTCTCGTGCCTCGCGTGACGCCCTGGCCGCCCTGGCCGTCGAGAGGCCGGCGTCTTGTCCTCGACGGCGTGCTGCCCCCCGGGCCGACACAGTGCCCGACCCGGCCGCGTGACCGCAGCGCCGGACGGCGACGCATATGGCAGCGCGAACGTGCGCGACGTGAGGAACCGCCGGGAACCGCCGCCAGCAGGACTCATTCCGAGAGTCGCTTCTGACGCGCCGTCTCGCTCGCACTAGCGAGGCTCCCCGTATGAGTGCGAGTGAGACGGAGCGACGAAAACGACTCTCGGCATGAGTAGGAGGGAACGGCGCGCACGCGACGGGACGCCAGCGAGCATCGCCACCACCACGGCGGCGGCGGCTCCCGCCTGCAGGATCATCGCGGAGCCCCGAGCAGGGGAGACCACGGGAAGGGGGTCACGGGGGGTCGCGAAGGGTCGCGGAGGACGGTGTGGGCGGGGAAGGCCAGGCGCGCGCACGGAACGGGCACGGAAGCAGCCGGGATGGGGCGGCAGCGGCGCGACGCGGGTGAGTCACCACGTGGCGACAACAGGCACCCCAACAGGCTCATCTGCGAAAAATGCTGCGACGCGGCGTGCTTATAAACACACACACGCGCACCTAATACGCACCGCGGCGCGCCGAGCCCGTCGTCACATTGTGCTGACTCGCAAACCCAAAGGCAAAGCCAAGTCTCTCTCGCGCCCCTACGCAACGCCCCGTGAGTGCGACAGAGCCGGAGCGACGAAATGAGCGGCGGGGGTGACGTGGCCGTCAGACAGACGTGCCTGGAATGGGGAAGCGGGGAAAGGAGTGCCTACGGGCAGCAAGGCAGCACGGCGAAAGGAAAAGAGCCCCCTGTGCCCTGTGTGTGGTGTGTAGGTGCGTTAGTGACGCGTGTGTGAGCTGGCAGCGGTTCAAGGGGCGCCCCAGTGGATCAGCAGCGGATCACCGCGCCGTGCGGGCCGCGCTGGCCGTGCTCGACTCGGCCGGCCCGATGCCCGATGCGTCGATGACTCAACGCGCCGACGGGTTCGAGTACCTCCGCGCTTTTCAACGACAACAACAAAAATGACGGGAGAATCCACGACGGCGCCACCGACGATCCCGTACAGTGCTTTCGTCGCTCTGTCTCTCTCGCACTCATGAGGCGTCCCGTGTGGGTGCGAGAGAGGCAGGGCGACCAAGCAACTAGCTCGGCTGATTGTGGGGTCAGCCGGCGCGTGGGCGGCCTGTCTCCGTCTCAAACGTCTCGTTCGGGCAAAAAGGAACCCCCTTCCCCACTCCTCTCGGGTGTCACTCTCATCACCGACGAATACGCGCACACACACTCACACGCACACAACTCTTCCGGGACGCACCCGCTCCGATCTAATCTCATCATCACGCCCGCACGTCCAGTCGTGGTGTGGTCGACCGCATCTCTCTAATCTAATCAATGAATGGCGAAAATACTCGCCGCCTCCCCGTTCAAGAATATAACGGAAGGGAAAGGGGGGGGGGGAATTTCGCGCACTAATTCTGCATGCACAGCTACTAGCTGCAGGAGATGCGCGCCGCAGCGGGTACCGCGTCACTCATGCGTGGAGGAGGGGGGAGAGGGGGGAGGGGCTTAACGAGGAATCAAGAGCAATTCTCTCAGCGGCCCCGCCAGGAAGGACGGGAAGGGGGAAGGGGGGGGATGGCGCGCGACGTCCTGCTGCGTGGAGCAGAGCGAGCAGGGCACCGAGCTGGATCCTCTGCGACCGCCGCGCCGCCACGCCTCGCGACAGGACGGCCGGACGCAGCCCGCGGTGCACCACGCGGCGATGCAGACTCGCAGCAAAACTCGCGCACTCACACGGGGCCATTCGGGAACCCTTTCCTTCCCTTCCCTTTTTTTGCCGGCCTCCTGCGTCTCCCTAACGGGCCGCCCGAGTACTGCTGCAGGCGGACGCACTGCAGTGCGTGTGCAGCCACAGTGCACTCGGCGCAGCCAGCCTGCACAACAAGGCCCTACCGGTCCTGCCAGCGCGGTCATTCCGAACGAGCGGTTCGGCGCCCCGTCCCTCTCGCAGCCCTACGGAGCGCCCCCTGAGTGCGAGAGAGACGGAGCGAGGGCCTGCAGCGCGCCCTTGCCGGCCAGTGCGACACACGGTGTGACACAGCGCCCCACTTTCCCGCCTCTAATCGCCCAGTCAAGCCCCCTCCCCCTCCCCCCTGCAGCCATGGGGCCCATAGGCAAAGGTAGGCCGCGGCAGGTAGGCCCTGCTGCTGTGGGAGGGGGCCCGCAGGCAGGCCGACCAGGCAGACGCGCGCGACAATGGGCGTGCCCTATAATTATCGCCCCCCCCCCTTTCCCTTGCAGCTCCACCGCGGTACTACTCGCTTTTTACCATCTTCCATAGGCGGCCCTTTTCTTTAAGCAACGCGCTTTCCACCGGCGGCGCGGGGCTCACGGCCCATCGGACGCTGCAAATTAGCATTTAATTACCGCCCCTTTTTTCCACGCCGCCTTTTCGGCACTGCTCCGGACGCGACGTGCCAACGAGTGGCTGAGTGAGTCAGCCGGCGGTGCAGCTTCTTCCACTGCAGACTGATTCCGAGAGCCGTTTTCGTCGCTCTGTCTCTCTCGCACTCTTACGGGACGCCCCACGAGTGCGAGAGAGACAGAGCGACGAGACCGACTCTCGGAATCAGTCTGCTGGGGAGAGATAAGGCGCGGATGCTGCGGGCCGAGAGAGAGACAGAGCGACGCCGCGCTGCGCCATTGCCACCGTGACCAAGTCCAGGAGAGACTTTTTGGCGGTGGCGTGCGCGGAGGGCTCGCGTCGTCGGCGCGTCCGCGCTCAAGTGTTCTCAGCTGTCCGGCCGGCGTCGGCTCGAGCCTCGAGCTCATCTCCTTCTCCTCGTCGTCATCATCATCATCGCCATGCCAGACACGGAGCGGCCGGGGTTAGCGCCGCATGGGCCGCCAGCGGGCTGGTTGCGAACAGAGCTGGCCTCTCACGCACCCATTGGGGGCTTGTCGAAAGGGTGCGAGAGAGACAGCGCTGTTCGGAGCCAGCCGGCAGGGGGAGGCCCAGGCTGCCGTAAATAGACCTCTGGTGCGGTGCCGCCGCTAGCGGCGCTCGCCCTGCAGGGCCAGCCCTGGGATTCTGGATTCTCAAGGCGGCGACGCGCTCCAAGTAGAGACCCGCCGCCACGCCACAGCGCTACCGCCTCCCACGCGGCCTGCCTGGCCCGGCCCGGCCCGGCCTCCACTGCGGCGGCCACTTCACGCTGTCTGCGGACTGCAAGCCGCGGCCCCGCGCAGCCCTAGGCCCTGGGGGAGCGGCCCTAAAGGGGGCCGCCAGGCCGCCAGCACGCGCGTCCAAAGCGTCCAAAGGCAGCAAAGGGGAGCAGGGAGCAGGTGCCGGCAAGGCAAGGGCCGCTCGCCGAGTTGACACGCTTCACTGAAGTCCTTGAAGGCACTGCCGTCTGTCGGCCCAGCACCGTCTCTCTCGCACCCACACAGAGCCGACCTGTGAGTGCGAGAGAGACACAGCCACGGTTCGGAAGCAGCCAGCCCAGAGGTTGGCGCCCCTGCCAGGTAGGCAGCCGGCAGACACAGGGAAGCCCCACGCACCCCTACTCCACCCCGCCGGCCGCCGCCGCGCCGGCCTGCAGACTGAATTGAATCCGCGGTTCCTTTTCGTCGCTTTGCCTCCCTCCCGCTCAAGGAGCGAGAAAGACAGAGCGACGAAAACGACTCCCGGATTCAGTCTGTTGACCGCCGCGAGCGTCCCAAACTTTGCAGGGTGGGCAACGCAACGAAAACAAAAAACAAGCGCCGTGCCTCGGCTCGCCTCCCGGGACGCTATCACAGGCAGTTCAACGCCAGGCGGAGAGAGAGAGAGAGAGACGAGTCAGTGATGAGTGTGACAGAGATACAGCAGTGTGACACTAAACAGGACGGGCGGAGGCCTCCAAACGCGAGGTGTTATCTTGCATGTGCTTTACAGCGAGTGCAAATGCCCGGCCACATCCCACCGTCATTGGAAGGGATGGCAGCTGAGCATGGATAAGCTCGTTCTGTTTTAAAATGCTTCTAAGAAGTTATGTAAACAAACAGGGCTCGGAGCCAAAATTATTCTAAAATTTATATTTTTATACTCACTCTTCTGGGCAATACTGTGCCCCGCCAAGAAAGCCATGCCGGTCTGGGACAGTTGATATGACAGAACCGTTGTTTACAACGCTGCTCACTTCGGAACCAGTGATGGATCCCTCATCTTCCTCTGCACCTCCTCCGTCACTTCCCTCCTGGGTCTCATGAACACCACGACCTTCAGAAACTGATGTGGCCATTGTGTCACTGGAAGAAGAAACACAGGCAAATGAAGTTAGACAAAAAAAAATTTTTAAATGATTTTATCTTTGATTTAATATAACTTGGGCCTCCGCAGTGGAACAGAGAAAATGATGACAATGATGAAGAGAACATGATTACGTAGAAATTACTTGACAGGCTCATTGATTGCCAAGTATGTGGAAGGATAAGGACATTCCCCCTCCATTTCATCAAAAATTTTAAAAAATATCAAACAGAGAAATAATAAACAAAACAAACTAAAAACGGCTGTGATGAACAAGGGAAGAAATTTGGATTTGACAAGGGGGAACTGACAACAGGTTGCACTGGCAACAAATATTGTGAGGTCATCAAATGAAAATGGCAGAACATATGATCCAATCAAACGTCAATAAGCGGATGTCATCGCCTTCTCAAGCGTTCAGATCAAACCCACATAAGCTAAGACTGCCTCAGCCACAGCAATAAGGAATAGTCCTCACGTGACGAAGTTTTCCCCCCATTGATTCACAATTTCGTTCATCAACTTACGAGGAAAATGCGACGACAGGCCACAGGCCAGTGAATCTGGGGCCTACCCCAGGGAATCCACAGGTCACACTGTCTGCTTTCAAATCCGTCACTGGGGCCCACTCAACATTCACACCCACGGATTCTGGCCTAAACCCGGGAAAGAAAATTCTGCAAAAAAAGGGTCAAACGAAGGGCATGGCGAGGGTAAGCGACGCGGAACCCTGGAATCTGGAACAACACTCCGCGGAGTGCCCGCCCGGGCCCGTCAAGACCGACCGGGCGGGGCCCAAACCAACAACGACGGAGCGGGAGAACACACAAACACGGGCGGGACATGACCTACTTTCGCAGGGGGGCGGAGCAGGCGTTAGAGCCGTCAGGATGCAGGGGCCTGGGCAAGTCAACTGGTAGCCATCAGCGGCCCGCGCCCGCGGAGGCCGCGGTCGCGTCGGGGCGGGACGCAGGTAGACGGGGTCGCCCGCGACTGAGGGTCCTACTCCACGGGACTCAGGCGCTTGCGCATCTCTGACGGGAGGGTCTCTACAGGCAGTGCCAGAGGGAAGGCGCGCGTTCGGCCGCCGCGCCGTGGCAACGGGTGCGACGGCGAGACATAAGCGCGTTTCGGACGCCAGCGCGGAGGCGGGGGGCGGGGGCTTCGGGTACGCTCGGGCGCGCTCGGGCGGCAGCCGAAGTGCGGCCGAGTGCGCTGCCAACAGCGCCGCGAGCCGGTATCCGCACCACGGCGCGCTTTACGGATGGGTGCGCAGCGCGGAGTCGCGCAGCGCATGAAATAAAGGGATTTCCCTTACCGTGATTCGGCACTTCCAGGATGGAGCGCTCTGGTGGCCCGCTCGCTTCACGCGAGCTTTTTAGCCGTTTGCGAATCTAAAAAGAGCACGACAGGCATATGGCGACGATATAAAAATATTTCAGGGGAGGTCAAACACTCCAGCATGATCACCATGGCAACAGAATACCGCAGTAAACACCCTATCTCGAGTCACTTGGAGAGGGAGTCACTGTTTGTCAATAAATATGATCAGTCTGAAGGAAGCGTTTCGTTTGGTTGTTTGTCATGTAAATTTTAGTGGTGGGACAATCTGTAGTTTCCATACCGTCCTCTGAGTCACATAGTCCATGGACAGCAAAGGAGGTCAGCTCGCCACTGATAAAAAGGGGATGGATGTGTTACGAACAAAATCAAAAAATATATAAATAAGGACCAAAATGGGGAGCAGTTCTCAAGTGGACGACAGCATAACCAAAAAATATGACATCAAGAGGAGGATCGGTAAAGGGGTAAGTAGTGACTTGGCATAGCGCACCGTGGCCAAGAAGCCGCCTTCCCTTATCGGCTAATCTTGGCACCGAAACTGAGAGTGGAAAATCCGGAGCGGTGGTGCGGATGATAGAGGAGGTGGCCCTCTACGACTGCGTATGGCACTGCGTTCCGTTTCGCCATTTTCGCCATTTTCCCATTTTCCAGGCTTACGGCATCGTATGGAAAGCCGTGGACAGGTCGACGAATCGGCCCGTGGCCGTCAAGAAGATTTTCGACGCCTTCTGCAACTCCACCGACGCGCAGAGAACTTTCCGAGAAATTATGTTTTTGCAAGAGTTCCGGAATCACCCGAACGTGGTCAAGCTGCTTAACATCCACCGTGCTAGCAACGACAAGGACATTTACCTCGTATTCGAGTTCATGGGTGGGTACACCAGCTACACTCGCCGGTCAGTTCACCTCGCCGGCAGTGAGCTCCACTCTTAAAACATTATCTGGTTCCATCCAACGAGGAAAACCGAAAGCTAAAAAACCTCGTGTTACAGAAACCGACCTGCACAAGGTCATCAAGCGAAAGCACATCCTGCAGGACCTCCACAAGCGCTTCATCATGTACCAGCTTCTCAGAGCCACCTACTACATCCACTCGGGCAACGTGATCCACCGCGACCAGAAGGTGCCAATTTCGATTTGAGGCCACGCAACTGAGGTGCAAAATTGACGTGTCTTTAAAACGGCTTGGTGACTTGCAGCCGTCCAACATTCTCCTGGACAGCTACTGCCGGTGCAAGGTCGCCGACTTCGGCCTGGCCCGCTCCCTGGCCAGCGACAAGGGGCCGGGCGGGACGGGCCCGGACGGCACCACGGACCCCGCCCTCACGGACTACGTGGCCACCCGCTGGTACCGCGCGCCCGAGATCCTCGTCGCGTCCAAGCAGTACGTCGCCTGCCCAGAGAAAACGCCCTGCCCAGCTAGACGGAAACAAGACTTAGGTTTGTTGTCCTCCCAGGTACACGAAAGGCATCGACATGTGGAGCCTCGGCTGCATCCTGGCCGAGATGCTGCTGGGCAAGCCGCTGTTCCCCGGGACGTCCACCATCAACCAGGTGGAGAAGATCATGGCCACCATCGACCCGCCCACGCCCGCCGACCTCGCCTGCGTGTGCCCGGGCTACGGCAGCTCCCTGTTCACGGTGAGGTCCGCGGTTCGACGCCGCCCCTCTGCCTCCGTTTTCTTTCCTCCCTCACACCGATTCCAAAAGTCGCGTCTTCCTGTCGCCCCGTGCCCATGGAGCTTTTCCTGCGGGCGGGGAGGGCGAGGACTGACTTGCCGATCTGCTGGGGCCCCTTCAAGAGGCGCCCGGCCGAGGGAGGCGCCCCCCCCTACCCTGGCCAGGTGGCCGCCCGCCAGGGCGGGACTTGGCCCTGCCGCCTGCTGGTGCCGCCCGTTCAAAACGACCCGAGCAGGCCCCGGGGAACCCCCTTTCGGTGTACCAGGTTCATGTCGAGGGGGGGCCCCCCCCCCCCCCCAAAAAAAATTCAAATTTAAAAAATTCTCAAATCTCCGCATATTTTCTTGAGCGGTGGGATATGCCTTGCAGCACCCCAACGTGGCGAGTCAGGTGAGCCAGTCCTGCGGCCAGCCCAGCCCCACCCCGAGCGGAGGCAGCGAGGGTTGCGGCGAGGCCAAGGGGCAAGCCATGGCGTCCCAGGGTGGCGGCGACGGCGACCCCGCGGCCACGCAGCACACCAAGGCCAGGAAGCAGCACCACGGCAGCGTCGCCAAGGACATCAAGGACTACAAGGGCGGCGCCGGTAGCGGCAGCAGTGGCAGTGGCGGAAGCGCCCCCCTCAGCACGCCGCCGCTGCGGAAGCCGTGAGTAGGGGCCTGGCCCAGGGCCTGGCCCACCACGCCTGCGCTAGGCCCAACGCCGCACCAAACGTTTCTGACCATTTCCGACCCCCAGGACGAGGCCGCCGCGGGAAGCCCAGACGCGCCACCTGTCCACGGAGGATGTGCGTCCGGCGCGGCGCGGCGTTCGGCAGGCCCAGGCCGGAGTGCGCGTGGCGGGGACAGCGCCGGGGACCGCGTCGGAGCACTTGCTGCCGCGACGCCTGTCCGCGTCCGACTCGGCGGTCACGTCCGTCACGTCGCAAGGTAGCAGCCCAGCGACCCTGGCCGGCACCGCCACCACGACGCTGCTGCTGCGGACGCCGCACCTCGCCGCGCACCCTTTGGCCGCCCCCTTGGGGGTGCCCTTGGGGCCCACCGTTAAACCGGACGCCGGCGCCCTCCTCGCAGGCCGCGGGCCGCACCTGCGGCGCCGCCATCACCACCACGGCCACCACCACAGCGCCGCGGCGCTGGGCAGCACGCAGCCGCACCCGCAGGCATTGGCGTCGCGGCGCAGCTACCACGCGCAGCTGGACCGCGTGGGGGACGTCGTCGTGGCGGCGTCGGGGGCGTCCGCGGCCGCGGCGGCCCTCAGGGGGGGCTTGAGGGCGCCAAGGTCCAAGCCGCCACGCGGGACCAGGGCCTCGGCTGCTACCCATCCTCAGCTGGTACGTCAAGGCCCAGGCCTAGGCCCCAACCCCTCCCCAGCCCAGCAGGCTGCACGCCAATCATGATGCGTCCAGCAGGAACCCGAGAGTCGTTTTCGTCGCTCTGTCTCTCTCGCACTCATGGGGCGTCCCCTATAGGTACGAGAGAGACAAAGCGACAATAACGATTATTGGAATGAGCCTGCAGGCCGGTCCAGGCCATGCCGATCAAGGCGCAGCGCGCGCCCGCGCAGTCCAGGGTAGGCCACCCGCACCACCGACGTGCGCTCTGCGTGCAGTGCGGCCTACCCTGCCCGGCGCCTCGACCGCAGAGTGCCATTGACAGAGTGTAGTGCCTCCCTAACACGACTTCCCGTGCGTCTGTTCTCAGCTGACGTGTAAGATGGGCTATGTCAGTCTCTCGTCATCGGTGGGAGCAGAAGGTACAGGGGACTCTCTTCTCTCTAGCAACTCTTAGCAATATTGCACGCGCCTCCAGTAGCATCTAGTTTCAATCTTCAAACCGCTTACACACACTAACGGCAGCCGTCGAGGGGATCCTTTAGGGATGGCGTCCGTTGCCAGGGGCGGCGCGCTTCACCTGCCGCTCTGTCTCTCTCCCACTCTTACGGAGTGCCCTGTGAGTGCGATAGAGACAGAGCGACGAAAAGATCGGAACGACTGCTCTGAATCGCTCGGCGGGGTTTTGTTTTGCAGTCGCTGGGGTCGGCCCTCTCCGGCTGCCCGGCCCGCCACTCCGGGAGCCTGTCCCACCTGCAGCCTCCGGCCCCGCAGGGACAGGGCTCTCAGGCTCGCCCGCAGGGGCCCCACTCCAGCTCGACGCACAGCTTGGGGGCGGCCGGCACTAGCAGCACTAGCCAGGTCCAGGGCCCCGGCAGGCCCGCGAGGGACATCCTGGGGTCGCACCACGCCTACTTCGGCCTCAAGCAGCCGCACCGCCACAGCGGCGTCCACAGCGTCGGCCTGCTCGGCTCGCAGACGGTGTCGCAGACCGTGGGCAACGTGGGCTTCATCACGGCGTCGGGCCTCTCGGAGCTACGGCTGCGGCCCGGCTACCGCTGGCAGAGGTAGGCTAGGCTGCCTCAGGCGACAGTCCTCCTCCTCCCTACCGCCCACCCTCCCTACCGTAGGCAGGGACGTATCAAGTCTTGTATGGGGGAAAGAAAAAAAAAAGAAACCAGAAAAATAGTGTTCTTCCTCTTGCTCCCCATTTATGTAGATTCACTTAGATTCCCCAATGTCATGTTCTTCATGTATGTGGTATCACACAATTTTGTATGAATGTTTATTTATAAATGATATTTTAAATAATAAAAACGGAAAAACTTTTGGTACTTGAGTAAATATGCTGTATATTTAAAAAATGGTTTGCTCTTAAATGTTGGAGAGAACTGATTCGAAATATAAAGAGATAATAGAAATTATTTATTATGTGAAAAATCACTGAATCCTTCCTTTAAAACTCGTCAAGACAACAATGATACCAGCACAATGGACCCTTTACAACAAGCTGCTTATGAAATATCCTTAATGACTTCTTCAACCTCTTCCTTGCTGTACATATGGAAGAACTTCTCTGGGGTGACAGTCACTACTTCAACATTAGTTGAGCTCAACTTCTCTTCCATGACTTGCTTTAATATGGTGAGAGAAGCAGTCAGAGCTTCTTTCAGAGTCATAGACTGTAAATTAAAAAAAAAAAACAAGAGTTCAAAGTTTTGTTCAAAACTAGACTGAATGCTCATTTTTTCATGAAACTAGGTGAGGGACGAACCTTGTGATACTGCTCTTGAAGACTCTGTTGAGCACCTTCACTTCCTGATCCAATAGCCTTGGCATCAAACTGGACAAACGTACCAGAAGGGTCCATGTGGAAAAGTTGAGGTCCCTTCTCATCACACCCAGCAAAGAGAATTGCTACTCCAAATGGGCGACTCTGAAATAAAGAATTAATAAGAATCACCACATTTAGGTCATCTCACACACGAAGCAGCTTTAAGAAAATAATAGGAAAATAAATACCATAGCTCCACCATCTTCATCTGAGTCTCCGAACTGAATGGCAAGATTAGAAACAGCTTGAGCAACTGATTCTACTGACATCTTCTCATTGTAGGAGAACCAGTGGTTCTGACACTCCATACGGGCTCGATCAACCATTGTCCGAGAGTCAGCAATCAAACCACTAACAGCACAACCTGGAAAAATATTAAAAGGAAATTGAAAATAATTATAATTGAGAACCTTCAAATGTTTAAAGCAACTACGCAATGCTCACCAATATGTTTATCAACCTCGACAATCTTTTCAATCGTGGATGGTTCCATCAGAGGGGAGGTTATTCTTTTTTCAACAGCCAACACCACACCTTCTGGAGTGCATATTCCAATAGCAGTTGATCCAAGCTTAATAGCCTCAATGGCATATTCTACCTGAAAATTAGTCAAAATTAATACACTGGACCAACAAGCATCTTTAGTGATGAAATGTTTCTGATACATACTTGAAAAAGACGTCCTTCAGGTGAGAATGTGTTGACACCTCTGTCATACTCAGAACGTGTTAGGAACATCTGAAAAGTAAAGCTTAGAATGAAAACGGTAACACAACTCAGCATAATAACATGAGCCACTGCATGAATGAAATCAAACTTAACTAATTACAAGCATGCAAAACTTGGTAAAATAAACTTAGGAAGAGACTGAATTTAAGATCTCAAGATGTCAGATTGGGAAAAACAGTTCTAACAGACAACACACCAGTTGATTAAACTAAAACTCAATCAATGGACGATAGGTTAGGAATATCAAAGAATATTAGAAGAATAAAATTGAAGAAAGTTAACATTTATGATTATATTTTCACGAATTGAAAACGAGACTTAAGACTATTAATGACGCATTGCCAAATGGTCACGAACGCTTTACTCAAAAGAAAAGTGGAAAAGCCGTGAACATGACCGGCAAAATGTTGCAGGATGTGTCACAGCTAAGTTATCGCTTCGGCTGCCGCTACGAAAATGTAATACGCGTCAAAGAATAAATGAAAATCAAAACAACAATTTTCGAAATCTTTCAGATTGATGTAAAACAGAGAAACAGTGCGCAACAATAAAAAATGAAAAGAGAGGTTAGATACGAGAATAACATCGTGCATTGATAACTGAAGGTACACAAAGGACACTTACTTTGGTAGCGTATACGGACGGGATGCAAATTACTTGAAAACCGTGCCGCTTGCCTCTGGGATGTGCAGTACGGACAAATTTCAGCCGTATTTCCGCCCAGACGATTCGGCAGAATCAGTTTACAACTGTTGTGGTGGGTCTCAGTGACGTTGTAGAAAATGTGAAAATGAGATGGGACGAGAACTCCTCCCCTCCACCAAATGAGCGAAAGGAAGGAGTCTTGAGTCTGATTGGTTGTTGAAATCCTACCCAGTGTGCAACACAAAAAGATCACGTGGTACACTGAATCCCAACTCTAGCTCAACATTTTCTCGATTAATGATTCATCCGACCGATTCATCCTCCCCTCCTCTCCCCCTCTCCCCTACCAAAGTTTCACAAGGACTCCCCCCACCTCTCACCGCTAGAATTTGAGGAATTTTGGTCGTCTGCCCACCCGCCCGCCCGCTCCTCCACAACTGCGCGTAGACAACCTTGCCTAGAAATAGATTCCCTTGCATTTGCATTGTGTCACTGCAGAGCCTCACGATGAGTTGGAGAGATTCGGTAAGTTTCTTAAGTTTCATACGGTCTATAATCCATGACATTTTAGGTCTGAATTCGGCAAACGATTCTGGCGTATGTTTACAATGTCGCACTAGGACTTTGGATGACATAACCTGACGATTCTGTTAAGATTGTTACATAATCCCTGAGGTAATGTGTGTACTCGCCGTGACAGGTACTCTTCAGAAATACCCAAGGACTGTCTTCTCAGAAAATTTTCAACCACTCTCGTTTTTCTTTTTGTGTGGATAAAATGTACCCCTAAGGTTGATCGCTTCATAGAGTTGCCCAACTGCTATTCCAAATTTGTCCACCTCTTTCCAAGTTGTTGTAGGTCATATTTAGATTTCATATTTTTCAACGCATTTACTCATTTAAAAATTTGACCCTTGTGGTTTAACGTGGATGTGGTTCGTAGTCAGGAGTTACCGTGATCAAAATAAGGTTTGCCCCAAAAATAGTTTCAATTTTAATTCTGATAATTTAATGTTAGGGTGTCTCGAGCATGCCATACTACTCAGTGAGTGGTGGAGGACTTCCTCGCAGTGGCTATTTCAGCAGTTTCACACCTGCTCCCACTCCTGCCCCACTTCATGTAGGTACTTCCTGTGGTTGTGTTCATGTGGTAGAGACTGTGTTGCACCTTGGTATGATGCTCTCATAGGGAACTTAGAGAACTTTGAAAAGGCTTATCTTAAGGTTGTTGTTGTTGATGTGCTTATCATATTAATGGTTCTGTTAAGCAGAACATCACCAAGAAGACGCTTATAGTGTGACTCACCTTTAACCGTTTAAAGATTTTTTGATGTTAATGCTTTGTTTGAAACTTGATTTTCTTTCTTTCCTTGTTTGGCTTATCTGGTTCAGTCATTCTAATTTGGTAGTATTGTGTTCTTTTTCAGACAGAAGCAGCTCTCCTTCATTCCCTTAAAAAATCTATGTTTAATAAAATATTTAATATTTGCTTTTGCAGTATTCTTCTGGGAAATATGGTGGTGAAGACGCACATGCAAAACAACTCATGCAAATTATTTGCACCACCAAAACAAATTTCAAACCACTGCCTGGGTATGAAGGAACATCTCAAGGTTTCGACCGTATAGCACTTGGCTTGGACTGTGATGAGGTCTACCCAAATCTATATATTGGTGATGCGTGAGTGATTTATTTTTAACATCTCAATTACTCAAATTTCCATGAACTTTTTCTCAATTTGGGTTTTAACCAACAGGGGAGCTGCCCGAAACAAGGCTTACCTTCGCCGAATTGGCATAACTCATGTTGTCAACACTGCTGAAGGAAATCGATTTGGAATGGTCAACACAGATGCATTCTATTATCGTGACTCTGGTATCCACTACATGGGTCTACCTTTGCTAGACCTTCCCTCTACACACATACGTGAATACTTCTATGCAGCAGCAGACTTCATTGACGATGCCATTAAAAATGGAGGTAATGTTTTGTCCTTTCTATTGCATTTCACATTTTCAAAGTAAACAAACTTTTAATTTGGTTTGGCTTTTCTTCTTTACTTACAGGAAAAGTCCTTGTACACTGCTTGATGGGTATGTCTCGATCAAGTACCATTGCAATTGCCTACCTCATGATCAAAGCTGGGATGCCAGCTGGTGTGGCCTTGCGCATGTGTCGCCAAAGCCGTGACATTCGTCCCAATGATGGATTCCTGCAACAACTCTCAGACCTGGACAACCGCTTGCGTCGGGATCGGGACAGGGCTCCATTGTCGTCCTATCCATCTTACTCTTCTCGCTCTCATCGCTATTGAAGGGGAATAACTGTTTAAAAGCTCTTTTCAGTATGTTTGATACTTGGTCTTCCTTCATTGGTTCTTCTTCTTCCTTGAAGTCACTCAGCCACTGTAAAAAGTTGTATTGCATTTGATCTGTCATACAATTACCCTATTGAAAAGGTACAGTGTACAGTACAGTCTCAATTTTGACTTTCCTGTTGAATTCATCTTTCTCAATAGGTAATATGTACATATCCTATTAGGATGTTATAATCTAAAATTTGTTCACAAGGCTTCAAAATATTTTCTTTTCCTTTATTTTGTTTGACTTGTAACCTCTCTGTAATTACTAACTTTTTTTTTGCAACTTTTTGTAGATAGTTGATCTAAGTTGTGTAGCTTAGTGGTTCCTTTCCTTACCCCCCCCCCCCTCTTTTTTTTGTTTATATTAACCTTTGTACTTGCTAGGCCTTGATCCATTTTTGTTCCCCTTTATTTTAGTAAAAAATATTTTTCTTATGTTTTATGAACTCAAAAACAGTTTGAAATCAATCCACTGTGATGATAGCGAGTGCTTATGATAAGTACTTAAGATTCAATTTTCTAGTAAAAATCAATTTGAAAAGTATGTAAAAATAATGATTAATTCTTTTCTAATGTTTTACAGATTTTAGTAGAAGTGTATTATTTATTTGTGTCAACACTTCTAGTGTGACTGGTCAGTGACAGGGCAGTTATTTTTCTGCATTTTTGGAAGCAAGCTGGTTCTTTGTGAATTGCTCCATTTTCATGCTTTGAGATCTGAATTTTTCTCTTTTCCTTCCCCCTTGCCTGCCAAACAAATTTCTCACAGTAAGGCTAATTTAAAAATATGAAACAGAATCAAGATTCTGTTTATTTATTTGGATATCTATTATACTGTACGTAATGTGAGTAATGAATACGCTTCTTAGTGTTTGTTTATTGAACCTAATCTCCTTGTTGTTTAGCTCTTGGTTTCATGTTATCATTGATTCAAGTATTAAGGATACTTAACTACAGAATTGCCTGTTTATCAAGGACAATCATGTTACTTATGTCTTAGTTTTTATCAGTATAGCTAGCTATTAACTAGAAAGACATTTTTTTTCTACCACCTTGACTCTATCTTAAATCTAGAAAGGACCTTAGATCCAACATTGCAAAGTTAATTTTGTTAGCCAGCATAAAGATGTTTGTCTGTAAAGTCAGACAGTTTAGATCACCATTAGTTTCTATCATACTTTATAAACTCATAAACTTAATAGCCACGGATTTGACTCGAGACTTTGTGATTTGATATAAGAGCATATTTAGTACCAACAGGATGGTTCTATTTTTGAGGAATAGGCTGTGCTTTTCAACACAAGTACAAATGACTTAAGCTAATTATGCCACACTTTTTATGCTGCATTTATATTGCATCTTAATTCACTTATTTATTTCTTGTTCATTAGACAAAGTGCAAATGCTAGTTTTGTTTCTAAATGCTAAGTGGAAGAATCACATTAGTTTTCAAGGTTTCGTTTAAAGTATTTGTTTAAGGAATTACTGTGATATGTCACCAAAGAGATCAGTTTGGTATTCATGTTAGTAATGTTTGTTCCCTCATCAAGACGCTTCATTGGAAAAAGTGTCTAGTCATTTCATGTTCCATTTGTCATGTTTATTTCTTTCATTATAGCTGTCCTATTTTTAAATGTATGTACCTCTAGCTGTGGCTCACAAGGTTCTTGGCTTGCCTGGCCAGGGGGTAAATAGAACTAAAAGTAGTGATTTAGCCAATATAAGTAGAGCAAGTTTTCATTGAAAGTGAGACATTTTATGGACTGGTTTGCTATGTGGAATAACATTCCTGAATGTGGAGGATCTACTTCTTAGCAATGGAGATACATTTTCTTATCTCATGTATTTATTGATTCATAATATTATCAGAATACGTAGCTTAGTTGAGTACTGTAGGAGCTCTGTAGGCTGCAATTCTTCCATCGTTCTCAGTGATCCAAAAGTCTCTCATGATGTGCATATTCTTCTTGCGAGGTAAGTTTTGTACATCTAATATGTAAGCTCTTCTATTGCCTGTTTTCAAGTGACATTGGCTGTGGTAAACACAAAGCAATATAAAAACTTTTATGCTTTAGGAGATTTTCACAAATTCTAAATTTGAAACAAAAGGAACAATTAAATTCAAAAATGTATTACAGTATTTGCCAACCAAATTTAAAAATGTAGTGCAAATGTGCAATGCGAATACAATATGTTTTGTTTTGAGAGTGATATGGAGAGAAAAAAAAGAGAAAATTTATACAATTGTTTCTCCAACAGGGTCAATTGCCATTTCTTTTACAAGTGCACTTGTGAAGTGATAGTTGTATCCAATTAACTAGGTGAAATCATGTATACTATTGGATTGTCAGTAATGCTCTTCCATTTGACTGAAACAGTAAATAAATGTAGGTTCTTCCAGAGATGATGTCTTAAAGGTTCAATTACATCCTACTCAAATATCAAACATCATGCAATTGCTGCATTTGATCTGTATCAAATATGACATTTCCCTCATCATCAACAACCTTTGTAATGAGAGATTTGCAGAAAAAGCAGTCTTTGCAATTCATCAAATGATGGGTGATGCAAGCCCTGTGTAAACAAAAAGCCCTTGGCTCAAAAACACAATCATTTTATGCTACTTGTCTAATGTAACTTAAATAATATTACTCACCGACAGGAATGATGTTTGCATGGTTCAAAGACTGTTGATATTGGAAAGGCAAAACAGATGGTGCACATTTCATCTTCATCAACAGGGACTGCATTTGTTTGAGACAGTATATGGTGATAGTGGGTAAGCATTGTCAGCATCTTGCTAACCTTTGCCATTTCTTCAGGTTTTATGTGCTCCTTGTCTAGTGTCAAACATGGGATAGAGGCACAAGGTATAAAAGCATTTATCAAAGCTGATCAATATACTAGAGTTGGGCCACTCACAGTATTTAAGTGAAAATAAGTGGGGGTTCTCCTCCGTAAGAAATGTAAATGAGGATAATTGAAAACTTGGTTCCACTAACAATGTTTTAGAGACTTTTGGAACAGATACACTTAGGGGAACAGTTATTTCTTCAAGAAAAAGACAAGGACATTAGCAAATAAATAAATTCAGAGCGTTTCAAATAGGTGGAGAAATGACTTAATAAAAATTACCTTCTTTGAAATTTTCTATATCTTCCTTAAGAATTGCAAGGATAATTCCACAAGTTGCTGTTAAGATGGGAAGGTGCTCAACATTCTCAAGACCTGGAATCTCAAGGGTTGTTATGTGATGAAAGCAACCATCCTGAGAACTGGCACGATTCAAAACTTGACAGAGCAACTGGTTTAGTTGAAAAACAAATAGCACCAAATTAATTCTACTGCAATGTATGTGATCAATACAAGATATTCAAAGATGCTGACCTGGCAGAGACGGGCAAGTAAAAAGTAGGACTTCGGCTCGTCAGGACTTACAAAGACTGGCAAGGCCAGTGTAGATACCATTTCCAACACTCTTAGCAGGGCTAAGGTGAGATCAAAACAAGTTGCACAAATTTTAAGTTGTCGAGACTCCACTAGGACTCTCTCCTGACGATTGGACGCATTCTGCAACTGTGAAGTCAAGCGTAAACACCTCTAATAAAATTATCCTGATTTAAATTGACTCGAGCTATCACCTCTTGCAGCATTCCTATAAACTCTGAAAAGGCCCAATTCAACTGATTGAGAACAGAATTTAAAAAAGAAATAGCTAATTCAGATTCACTTGTGAGGATGCTCTGAATTAGTTCTTGAAGTGGATATGAAGGGTATGGGTCTGAAATAAAATAAATTCATATTTTGGAATAAAAAGTAAAAAATAGAATACACTGGAGAGATTTCAAAACAAGGGACTAAATAAAGTACCACACTCAAGACCAGGAGGGTTTATTGGATAAGACAGAGGTCTTGGTTTTAGTTTATATTTATGGTACTGTGACCAATGGCCACTAGACGCAAATGATGCTTGGGACCCATGCCATATTCTAACTAGAATCCAATTGCTACTGGCCCAAGCTCTGTTTTCATAGGGTTGCAAAAGAAACTTTATCATATTCATTTGGCTGAAAACAAGAGTATGAAAAAGGTATAGTAGATGATATTATGTAATTATAGTTACAGAGCCATCAGAGTATGAAATTACTCTTTTGTTTTTAAATTATTACCTTGCTTTTGGAATGGCATGTAAAACTTCAACCAGATTCGGAGTGGTAACAATGTCTAATAGAGCAATCAAAAGTGTATCCTTTGCTTTAGCTATACGAATACGCTGGTCATCTACATGTTCACAAATGAACTGCACAGCTCTTTGGGTAAGCTGGTTTCGATCTGGAAAGGTTAATCAAGATTTAGATGTAAGTCCTGTAATTACGATGGGAAGAGAAAAAATTGCGTTACAACCTGGAGTCTCCTCTAAAGAGACAAATGTAGGCTTAGCTTCAAAACTTAGAGTCTTCAGCATGTCAAGCAGGCAGTCCAAATAAAACTCTGGTACAAAATTGAAGAGATTTTCATCTTCTGCGGATGTGACCATTGTGTTCAGAACGACTTTGAATAACCAAGAGTGCCTACAAGGATATCTCATAGCATGAAGTGCTGCAAGATGAGAAGTCTGCAAGATACAGGTAACAAAGGTTCAGTTCAAAATTGATTTAGAAAAAAGTTTTCTTTTCTTTGAGAAAAGAAAATACTTGAATTGATAGCGGTCATGGGGATGATACCGCGTGATGAAGATGTTCAAGAAGCACATTGTATGATGATTCTAAAGCCTTCAGTACATCTGGCTCATGTTTTGATGAAGAATGAAAACACTTTATAGTATCTTTTGTTTCTGTGAGACACTGGACAATATCTTTAACTCTATTTTGACTAAGATTTATCTGTAAGTAGAGGAAAAATAGTAAGACAAGTAAGTATTTGCTTAGTAGTAACTAATTGGAAAATTATAATTTTGGTATTTATTTGCACTATAATTTACACAATCAGTCAATGAATCAGTTCTGTTGGCTATGTGGTAAAATAAAATAAGACCATCCAAAATATCGGAGAGAAAGCTTTGTGCATCCATAGAGTGCTCTATCTGACGAGTATTCTGGGTTGTGCCCGTTGTTTCAAGCTGATCAGAGTAAGGTTCTGAAAAAATAATTTCCGTAAAAAAAGGTGTTTTTTGAAGCAATCACATTAACTTTAACAGTGCAAAATTACCAATATTTAAATCCATTGGTCCAGTAAGGTTCCTAAAAGTTGAAGCTGAACAGAAAAAAATGATAAGCATTAAGGGCAAAGAATTGCAATCAAAGAAAAAACTTGCAGCAAGAGGTAAATAAAAAGACTCACTGGTAGAATCTACAACAGAATGAGCATCTTGTCGAGTATCAATCTGTGTCAGCATTGCTAGTTGAGAAACACCAAATCTTCGTTCCAACTCATTCAGAAATGTCTTGAATAAGTACAACAGTACTCCTCCTAGTCGATCAATATCATAGTAAGAGATAGACCCATCATAAAATTTGGCTGAAGGTACCACATCTGGAATGGGACTACCAATTTCTCTTGGCCAAAGAAGTTCTAAAACACGCAAAAGACGAAGAAAGAATGGCCACAAGAGAAAGACAGGGCTACCAGGACTTTTAAATGACTGGAATGCCAAAGGGAGAAAATTATTTAAAACCTAGAAACGTCTTATTTGTTATTTTGTTCTTTCTAAAAAGTACAATAGCACTTACTTCAACTCGATACAATGCATAAAATTGACGACGTAGCAACCTAAATTTATCCAAAAATATTCTCCGTGAGGAATGTTGTGTAGATGAGCCATCTGAGTCATCCAGTAGAGTCAGGAGCATATCCACTTGCATTTCCTCTAGACCTTAAGCAAAGTATGAGACATTTGTGAAAATATATCAACTATTATAACTTTATCATACATACTGTTTATGCCATTGCTGATTCTGTTAACTGCAGCTGTGTATGCACGAGTATTTAACTTTATTGAGGGATCAGTTTCCCAAAATGAGGTACTTCCATTGGATGGCAGTTTAATGTTCATAAACAATGGAAATCTGAAGGGAATAGAAAAATAGGGATTTAAGAATGCTTTCTATTAATAAATTTTCAAAACTATCAACAAGATTAACAGGAAGAACTAACTTGATTCCCTCAAAGAGTACATGAGTCATCAAGAAATGACGAAGCTTGGTATGATTCAGCAAACTGTGCAGAATCAAAATGGCATCTTTCTGCTGAGAAAACTCTAGCAATAATGGTCTTAAATTGTGTTGAAATTTTGATGCAAGCCTTGTTACTAAAGTATTTGTCCAGTCTTTCAAATAACTTCTCTATAAATTTGAAAATATTCAAAATCATCTCACAAGTCACATTTAAGAACATTTATGATATGAGAAAAGGGCATACCTCTGTAAAAGACCAGATCAGGTCTAAGAAAGTATTCATTTTTTGGGTATTGTTAGAGCATGATGTACTGTTTTTAGTGACACGAGCTGATGGACGTAAATGGCTTCGATTGACATTCATGTTTTCTGCTTCACAGAGAGCTTTTAAGAATGGTATTAGTTTTGCATCAACTACATAAGAATTTGTAAAAAATGAAGTGAGGCATGGGATCAATATCTTTCCTGCTTCCATCAAAACTGCTTCATGGGATATTTCTGGGCCATTGTCCGGTGCCTGCCAAAAGTTGAAATCCGGAGCTAGCAACATAACTGAGGGTGGCATGATATTATAGAAGTAATTTGAAATTTTGTTGACTTACAACAGCACGACTATCCATTAAGGAAAGTAGTTTACTCGTAGAGTCAAGGAGGTATGTTACTGATGCAAGGGCCTTATGGGGCGGTTCTTGAATTGGATTGAAACCTTCAACAGGGTAGATGAGGGGAGTGGAGCCATATATTGCAATCACACCCTCCTTCTGCTGCAAGCTAATTGCTGGAAAGTAGACTATTCCTGGACCAATTTGAATCTTTCGGTAGGCCACTCCCATTGATCTTCCATTCCTTGAGGTAGGATAGGGAAATACAGCTGCAGGCTCATCAATTTTATTTTTTTTAAAAACTGAAATATTATGTTACAAACCTGAAGAACTCCAGACAGCCCTCATCAAGGTCAATGCAACAGCCAATAATGTCACCTTCCTCCCATTTTTCTCCATAGTCCTCAGCTGATATATTCCATTTCCGGACTCTACTCCCATCAAAGGCATATGAATCAAAGGTGTCTCCTATGTTGTATGGAAACATGAAAAGTTGAGACATATTGATCTTATGACTAAATTTGAAAAATTGCTGTTTCTCATATATTTCTTACCTACCCCCTGCCCAGGACCAAATTTGGAGTTGGAAGTGACCCATCCAATTTGCATGACTCCTGTAGAAAGCAAGAGCACCTCATACTGCCATTTCCCTATGCACCAAAAAATAAAATGAGCATTAAAATTTGGTGTATGAAATTGAATGTTTTGGAGTACGAAAATAGAGCAGAACCTTGGTAGACTCCACAGTTGGTTTTGACTGTGCCAAAATGACTTACTCCTATAAGTTTTAAGGAGTCAAAAAGGGAAATTCTATTAGAAAGCTCCAATAAATCAAAACTAACATTTGCATTTCCAATGCGCCCATTGCCATTATGTTCTGTTCTTTCTGGACAGTAGTAAAGCAATTGCAAATGATTGCTTGCACAACTTAGCAGTGTTTCAAAGTTGCCAGATTGACTGTAAAAGCAAAAATGTATTAGTGAATCAATTAAAATACTATAAACCAATGAGAATATTCCTCACCCATCAAAAGATTGTACTAGGCTGCTTCCAAAAATATGCTCAAAAACTCGGCTATGAGACGTCATCTCCTCATGCAGAAGACAAAACCGACTTTAAAAGAGTTCACGGTTGGAAAATACTAGAGCATTGTTTCCTTTCATAATAAGGCCTACTTAGGAGCAAGAGTTCGCCTCGTCCATTACTGCCTTTCACATTTTGAAAAATCAACAATGCGCGCCGCGCCACGTAGAGGGCGCCACTAACGAATCATTATTCGCAAGAAAACCTAGGTTCTGCGTATAGGCATATTTTGGTCGACGGTTTGTTGATGCTTGATGTCAACAAATACTCGAAAACAAAGTGCGGGTATATTATAATGTAAGCCCCGGTTAAAGATGCTTGACCGAGAAACAATTTCAGATCAGTCAGTGTCTTGTAAATTGGTCTCACACCTGACGAACTTAGTAAGTGGATGATGAACGAAAGTTTGAGTTAACCTTTCTTTTATGTAATTGAACTGTGAATGTTTTCAAAGGTATTCTTGACAGTGGTCTTGGTGTCCTGGGGATACGTTATTGCTGCTGGTTGCTACACTGCAGCAAAGCAGCTTTCGTGTTCACCTCTGACTGAAAGAGAGAACGACAGCACTTGGTGTGCCATCGGCTAATGAATCAAATGGCTTACTCAGCAGATCAAGCTGCTTTTCAAGTTCAGGTAAGCTCCGCTTGTATGAACTTGGCTGGAAAACCAAAAGCCACCTCAAAATTATGCTCTCCATATAAATTTTTTATTGATCTACAACCTTTGTTTCTTGTATTGGCATCTTTCAGGAGAGGTTGAAAGCACTTTATAGACTGGTCCATGATATACATGATGAACGACAGAGAAGTGAACTTAATTTGAACAGTATTGAGAAAGCTCATGAAAAAATAAGTGCAGAGGAAAGAGTGTCTCCGCATAATCAGGTACATCTATAATTGCTCTAACCAGTAACATGCAGTTTTATATTCTTCACAGCAAGCAATTCTTTGTTTTCAGCAACAATTAAAAACCTTGTACACAGCAGCTGTAGCTGATGCAGAGCAGGAAGAAGATCTTATTCGTAAAGCCCTTGCCAAAGTTAATGAAATTCGCGCTATCAGGAATGAACGTAGAATTCAGGTGAGCATAATTTGAAGAACTTCTTGATCATTTCAAAAGCAAATACGTACTAAGAAAGTTGCATTCGGTTCAAAACAATAGGCCAGGAATGCTGGAAATAAGGAGACCATTCGGAGAGGTGCCTTGATGAAAATGCTGCAGTGTTCTGCACAGACATTACCCTTGTGGGTAGGAAAACCAGGTGAAAAGGCACCTCCCCTGTGTGGAGCTATTCCAATGGAAGCATCCTATGTTGCCAAGGTAACCATTGTAAATGTGCAATGCTAAAATTTGGACCAAGCCTCTATTACTTTAACCTTTTCTTTTGTTTTCTTTCCCTCAAAATGTTTAGCCAGGTGATATGGTTGCAGCTTTGGTGAAAGGAGCAGAAGAGGAGGAAAATTGGATCTTAGCTGAGGTAGTAAGTTTCAATACCACTTCAGGGAGGTACGAGGTTGATGATATTGACGAGGAACAAAAGGATCGTCATGTCCTGAGTCGTCGCAGAGTAATGCCTTTGCCACTCATGCGTGCTAATCCTGAAACTGATCATTTAGCTCTATTTCCCAAAGGTTCGGTTGGTAAGTTCATCTTGAAATAGTGATTAAGTATAATTTCCAACCTGCATATCCCAATTCTAATTGGTTTTTATGTACTTATCTTATTGTCACAGTTATGGCTCTGTATCCTCAAACCACATGTTTCTACAAAGCATTGGTCAATGCATTACCATCAACTGCAACGGAAGAATACGAAGTACTCTTTGATGATCCAAGTTATGCTGAAGGCTATTCACCTCCTTTACCTGTTGCACAACGCTATGTTCTTGCTATAAGAGATCGCAAGGGACATGGGCATTCTTGAGAACAGCAACGAACTTTAGGCAACTTATCACATCTGAGAAGTGACTGCCATGAAACTGACACCATGACTGCCGCTGAAAATGCGTTTAAGTATGAGGATGGTTGAATTGATCCAAAAAGAACATATTATTCTACTTGAAAATTGTATTTCCTCTTGCAATTAGTATAACTGTTGATCACACAAGTTTTCTTATCCTTCAAGAATAAAATCTTCAAACTCAAACTAAACTTTATATTTATTAACCTTGATACTTAAACCACATATGAAAAATCAACTTATTGTCATGACTTACGACTGTGATAAATTAATTGAGCTCGTTGAGAGCAGCAACATTTACACAAAAATCCTGCCACCATTCCCATAAATCTCGTGCATTACGATTGCTGTATGCGTGGTCCAGTAGTTTGTCTGTGCACCTCTTCAAAGATATGTTTGAAGGCACTGGAATTAAAATGCAGTCATACATAAATGAAGAAAAATCAAATAATTGGTTTAAGGTGTATGGAAATAGCAAACTAGCACTTACTTTTTCGAATAATGAACTCATGAGCCAGGTGGTGATCGATTTTATTCCATGTGAGACCCCACACAATTTCAATGGCTCCACGCATTGCTGTTATATGGTAATGACGGTTGCCCATTTCCTAAACCAAACAAGACAAGGTGCAAAATGTTTCCGATGAAGTAAAATTTATAAAACTGACAATGCTACTTTATTACCTGTGTAAAGTCTGGCCGATGAACCTGGAAATCACATCCTTCTCCAGGCGGACCCTGGAGTTTCTCCTGAAAGATTCTTAATCTAAAGTTGTGCAAGTGAATAAACTGCTGGATAGTAGAGAGGACAAGGTATGGGCAATTGTCTTCAGTAAGGTTGTTAAGGACTATTTGGATTTCATTCAAAGGAGATGTTCCGGATAACCCCACAGTGACTGCAGTGACTTCATCTTTCTGTAATAAGAAAGCAACACTAGAGAGACGTAGTGGAAACAAGTATCAGAGGGCAGAGACAAGTAGATGACGCACATTTTTAACCACTGTAATTTTGAAAGGGTGACGCTTATCTTCACAAGCAGCAGTGTAATGTTTAGTTCCATCACCCATCTCTTTGGATTGGCAATTTGTTAAGAAATACCCAAAGACCTTACATTGGGTCAGAATGTTCACATTGTCATTGTGATTAAAATCAAGTTGAGTACTGAAAAACAAAACACATTTACAGGAGATCAGGAAACATGACATTTCGACGGACACCAAAACATGAGCAAACGTTTAAATAACGCAACTTACGCTGTCTTGAGACTTTTCTCGATGGAGCGCACCTCTTGCTGAAGGTGCTCTCTTTTTTTCTCCAGACTCATTATTTGTTGCCTAAGAGTCTCCAGTAGCCTACTCCTGGTCGGCTCCCACGTTACACTAGAAAAGTCAACGTTTGCGTACATTATGGGTAATGAACAAAGGCCACAGCTAACCACACAGCACCACCATGAGAGAAGGGCCTACTTCATGTAATTCATGGCGAGCAACAGACACAACCAACGCAGAGCAACGGCGACGACTCACTCCACTTCCACTCACTCAGCACAACCCCAGGCGACTCCAATGGCAGCACCCAGACCCTAGAGCGGTGCGGCTTCCCGTACTGCCACCTTCACAGAAGGCGCATAGCTACCTCTTTGGGACGTCCAGATTAAGCATTAAATCGTGTTTTTGAGCTCGCAAAAAATTTTTAACCCTTTCAAAAAAACAAGTCACTTGCAGGTCATGCCGTTTTAGTTCTACAAAACACAACTTTTTTAATTTCGTCCCGTATTTTGATGCGCCGAGCCGGGAAGGTTGGTATCAACTGCAGGAAAACGACTCCAAGAGACAGGTAACTTGCTGGACCCACACCAAACGTGGCAAAGTTTAGAACGCCTCCCGAAGCTTGAGATTCCGGGTTCGCACCCTGCTAAAAGGTGCTAGTCTATATAATGCCCAAACCAATTTTTAAAATTTACCTTTCCCCTGATGGGCCCCGTTACACGAAAAGTCAAGTTTGCTACTTAGGGAAAAGCCCAGTAACACAGTCCTGACGGAAGGCCTACGTCTGATTCACAGAAATTAAGAAACCCAAGAGGCAACGCATTGAGTCACCCTTTCACTCAGCAGACAACAACAGTCAGCAGTCTGCCTGCGGCGCGAAAGAAATCCGAAACCGGCTGGGACAAACGAGAGCGCTGCTCTCTGATTGGTCCATTTCCTTGCTTCCCAGCATGCACTGCGCATGCCCTGGCGCGAATTCAAATCATCATTCAAATGCAAATTGGGGATGAGAGTGGATTGAGTGAGTGGATAAAATCGAAATCATCTTGGGTTTGATGGATAAGACAAATGGTGGGTGAAATTTGTAGTGAAAGCAAGCAGAAAAATCGTTATTAGTTTGTTTCTGTTTACAAGGGTCGCGTAACGACGCTACGCTGGCAGTGTGAGGCGCGGCCCGTGTACATTTTATTTTCATTTATAAAAACAAAACACACAGCTTCGTGTTGTTAATTTACGCAGCAGGTATTTACAGTGCCAAAGCGAGAGAAGTGCGAGGGGCGTCGTGCGGTCTCCGTGTCGGTGGGGGAGGGGGAGGGAGGGGGGCGTGGCGGGGATGTGGGGTGGGGTGGCGCGTGCGTTCCGCCTAGCGCCCCGTCGCCCCGTCGCCCCGTCCTCGTCGTTCTAGCCCCGGGCAGCGGGCTGGCGCGGCGCGGCGCGGGCCGCCAGTTGCTTCCCCGCCCCGGTGCTGTTTCGCCGAGCCTCGCCGCGACGCTCCGCTGCCCCGTGAACACCCCGACGCACGTGGAGCCCACGTGGAGCCCCCTGAGTCGGTCCGCAAACGTCGGATCGCCGCGGCGCGCCGCCCCCCGGCATGGCACGCCTAGATGGACTCGAACGGCTCTCAAAGGGACTCGAACCCTGACTGATTGGGATCACCCCTCTTCGCCGGTGAGTATCCCAACCGCGGTGCTTTGGTTTGTTGCTGGCCTCGCCTCTCTACGGCCACTCAGGCATGAAAGGAGGGGTAGCTCATGACCGCAGTCGGTCCCGTTCATCGCCCCCCCCCCCCCCCCCCCTTTGCCGCATGTGTTGACCGGAAATGCGGCGGAACCTGGCCGGAAGTGGACTGGACCGGATGCGGCCAGGGCGGGCCCAACGGGGGGGCAGCAGCGGGGGTTACGGCCCACGGCTTGCCTTTCCAAAACAAACAAACTGCCTTTTGTTCGGAATTCCATTTCATTGCTGCATTCGCAGTCCATGCTGCGAATGCAAATGCGTCCCCGTCATCGCGAATAATAACCAACTGAAACGACGGATTAAAATTCGCAGCAATTGTCGCGCGTTGTACCGCTTGTGGAGGGTCGGATCGCAACCATGCCCTTCCGGGCTCTTCCTGGGTTCTAGTGCAAACATGTTTTCAACTCTTTTTTTAACGGATGTGCGAAGGATTGTTTACGGGATGGTGTTTTTGTTTTTGTTCATCAGGCCCGGCGAGGGCCGCCCGTCCAGCAGCATGTGAGGGCTAGGGGCGCGAGCGGCGGCGGGGGATCGGGGTTCGTGGGTTTGGGGGCGTCGTCGGCGAGCCTCCACCCCAGCCCCCGGCCCAGCCCTCGGTCAAGCCCCAGGCCGAGCCCCCGGCCCAGCCCGCGACCTAGCCCCCGGCCCAGCCCGAGGCCCAGCCCGCGACTCGGCCACCGCCGCGCGTGGACGCCGTCTCGGCACTCCGACGACGAGGACGACGACGAGGACGACATTGCGGCCATGCGCAGCCCACGCGCCCCACCGCCGGCGCCGTCCACCTTCCGGCGCGTGCCGCTGGGGGCGACGACGCGCGAGGCCAGCTTCAGCGTCACGGACTTCCCGGACACCTTCCAGGACTTCTTTGCGCGCCTCAGCGAGGACGCGGCGGACGAGGACGCGGACTGCGGGCACGCCGTCATGGAGAACAAGCTGATCCCGCAGCCCTGCGCGATGCCCCCGTCGGCCAGCCCCATCCCCAGCCCGGCGCCCAGCCCGGTGCCTGGGCCGCGGCAGCGCAGCACGACCACGGCGTCGGCGCCGACCTCGGCTCAAGCGGCCGCCGCCACTCGGCGCACTCAGGTGTTGGCAAGGCGCTCCTTCAACCGACGCCATGGCGGTCACCCCGCGGCCGCCGCGACGCCGTCCACGCCGCCCCCGAAGCAAGCCACGGCGCGCGCCGACTCGGACTGCTCCATGATGCTGCAGTGCTCGCCGGCGGCGGGCCCCGCGCGCCGGAGGTCGTCGTCCATCGCGGTGCCTCGGCCGCCCCCCGACGTGCAGCGCTTCCTGCAGACGGAGCAGTGGGCCAGGAAGACGCCGCACAGCCCAGGCCACGCCTCGGCCTCCACGGCAGGCCCTGCGCCGCGCGCCGCGCTGCCCAGGGCCTCCATCGCGTCCATCGGGGGCGGCAGCGCGCTGCCCGGCGACGGCGCCGCCTACCGCAGCCGCACCGCCTCCATGCCCGCCGCCGTGCCCCGCCATCGGGTGAGTGCCAAAGTCGATTACCGCCCGTGTCGCCCGGAGTCGCTCCTCGATGACCAAATCGTTTTCCAACTCGGCGCGCAGAGCGCAGAATCACTGCCGTTTTCTCATCAAGAGGCCTCTCCCCTTTTTTGCACCTTTCGGGGCTCTTGGCCTCGGCGGGATGGGAGGCCGGCTTAATCTCGGCGGCATGTCCCGAGCGTGTCCGGGAGCGCGGATCGGACCGGATCGGCCCCGGGGGAAATCGAAGAGTATCGCGGAGAGCATCGCGGAGATAATGAAGCGAGCCCTCCATCCCCCCGGCCTCCCGCCCTCCAGGGCCGTGGCCGTCATGGCCTCCGCGGCGCCGTGTACACTTTCAAAGGGCCCCGCCGAAGCACGCCCGTAATGTCAATAGATTACTCTTAAGGAGCTACCCGAGGCTCAGGCCTCCCGCAGGTTCAATCCGGACGAGCACTGCTCTCGTCGCGCATGTCTCCCTCGCACCCATGTCGCGTGATGCGGCGGTGCGAGAGAGACAGCGCGACGACACGACACGCTGTTCGGAACTCGTGAGGAACAGTGTGGCGGAGCAATCGCGGCCCAACCGGAAGGACTCGTCCCTGAGCTACACTCAAACAAAGTAGTAAACACACACACCGACACACCGAAAAGAAAAAGAAACCTTTGAAAAATTGGGAGGGGCATGATGGAAAAGGAAACTCGCCTGCACGTAGCGCGTTACACGGGGCCGTGAATGAGCAAAAGCGGAAAGAAGCCGAAGCCGCGCGGCGTTTGTTCGGGCTTTTCTGTAATCTGGAGGGGGGAATGAAAGGGAGTGGGAAGGGTGGGGGCTGTTCACGCTTTTGCGGCGGTTCGGCGGGCAAGCGCGGCACTGAGAAATCGGCGGCGCTTTCTCGTCCCCGGACTGATTCCGAGAGTCGTTTTCGTCGCTCTGTCCCTGTCGTACTCGGGGCGGGCGTTCCGTGTAGGTGAGAGAGAGACAGAGCGACTCTCGGAATGAGTCTGCCGGCTTAGCGCGGCGCCGCGCCGACAGCGTACATTATTGCGTCTTGCATTCGGCTTTTAATCACGGCGCGATCTCGCCCTGACGACGACGACGGCGGTGGCGGCGGCGTCGAGATGGCGGCGCGTTTACGCCCCCTGACGCGCTACGCCGTAAAGCGGCTCGAGAACTAGGACGCGGTGCGCGGCTTGAGGATCGGAGATTGAATCCGCCGCCGCCGCCTGCATCCTCGACCCTGGGGAACCGAGATCGAGATATCGATTGGAGTGGCGACTTGCCCGCCTCGCCACTCGACATCCACTATCCGCGATCCGGATGCAATCCGTTCCGCCCTCCGCGGCCCGCTCGCCGCGCCGCGCCGTGCCGGGCAACCCTCTTGACTCGACTCGACTCTAGCCAATAAGGCGAGGCTGCCCCGCCCCGCCCCGCCCCGCCTCGCTCCTCCGCTACTACCATGTTTATGTAACTTTTCATCAGCGAAATTTAATAAGACGACGACGCTAGCTTTTGCACGGCAAACAGGGCGGCTCACCCCGCCTGGCTCGCCTGCCTTGCTTGGCGGGGGCGGCGAGGCGAGGCGAGGCGAGGCGCATCCCGCGAGCGGAGCGGCGGCGGTCCCATTCAAGGCCAGCCGGCGCTTTCGGACCTCGCGGCCGGCGACCGTCATGACCGTCTCTCTGCAGACTGATTTGCGAGAGTCGCTTTCGTCGCTCCGTCTCTCGGCCACTCTCGGGGCGTCCCGTGTCAAAGTGCTTCCTTCCACCAGTCAAGGAGAGAGCCTGGGGGCTAGCCTTTAGTGGTAATGGTAATGCGGGGTAGGCAGCGCGGAGGCACGCGTGCGCGCGGGTTGCCTATGCGCCGTCGCGCGGGCGCTTCCATTACCATTAAGGGCTAGACCACACATGATCGTATGCCATTTCGGGCCACCGCGGCTGCGAAGTCTCCGAGCCACGACACGGAGTCACGGAGCGCGGCCTCCAAAGTTGCCGACTCAGAGCAGAAGGGACCAAGCCCAATAACTGGAACATTTTGGTTGGGAGCCTTTCCTTCGGTTCCTTCGCCATATGGAGGACAGCTGCTTTTCGCGCCCACAGTGTGGGCCCCACACCCTCCACCACCGCGCTGGTCGACGTGGACGTGACACCCGCAGTCCGCCAGTCGGCTTCCCGCGGTGGCGCCATCTGTCGGCGGCAGGCAGCAGGCCAAGCAGCAGGCCAAGCAGCAGGCCCACCGGGCGGCACGGTGTCCCACTTTTCCAGGCCGTTGTCGTCGACCGTCGTCGACCCCTCGGTCCGCGGTCGACCCCGACTTCCCCGGGGAGGCTCCTGTCCACTCGGCAGTGCGCGGCATTGGTATGCCCGGTCTCCACGCACACACACACACACACACACACGCGCGCACATGAGTAGGTGTGTACATATAGGGCACACGCACACACACTCTTTCACGCACACACTGTGCCGCACTCGGCAGGGTCTCCCGCAGGTCCCCGCGGACGCGCAGCTCAGCCCGGGGACTTACCGGGACGCCGCCCCGCCCCGCCCCGCCCCGCTACACGTCCCGTATTGCGTGCGGTGTGCGACGTGTTGTGCCTAGCCTGCTAATAGAGGAAGGGGGAGGGGGCGACAACAATTGA